ACAAATGTGGGGTGAGCTCGATCGTTCACAGTAAGGGAGTAGCTTAAGCGCCACCTCGTTAGAGGACTACTCGCTAGGATATCAATTGCCCGGGATGAGACTCGCCAAAGAAAAGGCCATAAGAAGGCCCTGACGAACGGTTTGCAGAACGATCCAACTCCCCTCAACTTTCCTAGCGTCCGACTTACTAGATGTCCGAATCAGTAAGCAGACATTACTCACTCTACCCTAACTCTCCGCACGAAAGGAAGCTTTTACCCAATTAAAGCTTCTCATCACTAGTTTCCTCCACGATCCTCGAGATGGCGATTCCGTCACAGAAGGGGTAACGACCATTCATTAAAATGAATGGAACAAGACTAATTCAACGAACGAGCGCAAAAGGAGATTCCTCAGGTGAACTTCAACATCAATAACGCTAACACAGGTAGGGTTTCTCCGAACACTTTGAAACATCGAGTTCTAACTCATGGTAACACAATTTATTTATTAAGACGATACTATTCTAGGCCTAGACTTCCCTACATACAGCGTGCGTTCTCTCTAACCAGAGCGTTCTTCCCTCCCGACGTCACATGTGCACATGGAAAACATTTAGTGGGTTGTACTCACGGTCTCGTTCTTACATGCGGTGGCCGGTGCGATTAAAATCCTTCGCAACCGGCGAGAAAGAGCGACGGTTGTCACTATTGTCGCGCGCGATGACTCAGCTTACATGGGGTTTGTCGGTGCGATGTCCATGCTTTGCAACCGGCGAGAACAACCCAGACAACCAGAATGCACGTATATTCAAACTTGTTTCTGTGATATACAAAGATATATACAAACAAACAAATCGTATAGAATGCAAAAAAAGGGCCTATGCCTGCAAAAGTGGAGGCCATATACGTGGCAAATTTTAATTTCTTTTTAAACGAGTTGATTTGACATTATATACGATTTAATCTGTAATAACAAATTCAATTTGAAAAGCCTCACGATGTAATCCGATTTAATTTGTGATATAGTACGATGGAAAAATGATTCATCGCATATAAGTCGATTTTACTTAAACTCGCATTCTATACGATTTTACTTAAACATAATGCGATGTATGTTATACTTATATGCGATATTGACTTAAACAGTAGTTATTTACGATACTGTCTGTACATTGTTTTACGACTTCTGGTTGTCTGGGAAACGACGGGTGTCGCTTTTGTTGCGTGAGCTGGCTCAGCTAGCTATTGTTGGGTGGTGTTCTTTGTTGGTTTGGCTTGGCGGTTCAACCTCGTGTTCGACAGGCCGATGGTGAATCCACCTACCAGAGCGCGTTCGGTCAACTGACTCTCGAACGGTCACGATTCCGGTCACGTGGTCGGATTCGGATGCTTTACCGACGGATGATTCGCTCCGGACCGGCGCGATGTTGATGGAGCAGCCCTCCTTGGCCACACGATGACAATGGCCAGCAACGCTTGCCTGGTCTCCGGAAGTGTCCACGAAACGTAGCTTTCCTAAACCCGAGAAATAAACCGTCGAACGGCTGTTCGATGAAAAGGTTTAGAGAGAAACGCTACCTTCCCACGCACGACTTTCATACCTTTCTGTTCGCTTTCTCGCTGCACCGATTTCACTACGGTAAACGGATTTTGATTTTCTTTTGGGAAAGGCTAACACAAGCTAAGCTGTAACGATCAGAAAAGTTAAAGAACACTGAGGAAACTACAAAGGGTCAGTCTAATCACTTTTTGGTTATACGCGACTACGATCACTTCTGACACGTTTCACCAGTCCAGGCAAAGTGAACGAGAAACTGTTTTGGTCCTCAGATAGGAGCCTGGGAAAACTCGCGTCCTCGAACGAAGAATTCGGGTTGGGTTTCCATGTCATCTTTCTGACTGCGACCTCTCGCTCCCACCAGTACTCATCAAGGCGACCATCACATTCCCCGCCCCATTCCTCAAGGCCGTCCTATAAACTTGACCTTCGGCTTTAGTCCCGATCCCGAGCAAAACGGGAGAGTACTTTAACGAGTGCACTTCTACTCCCCTACAGCGGAACAAGTATTTGAAATGCCCATGCTATGAGCTGGCCTAAGCATTGGCGCAGTTTTATGGTATGATGCGCGCGCAAGGCGGCAAACTAAAAGTTTCGAAATAACATCGAGAGTATTTTGTATATTTAATGACACAGGTGTAATTTCATGTGATGTTCGATAGTAATTATTCAATTCAATTATATGTTCTAATAAGGTAGTTATTTGTACATATTTACAAAAAGGGTGACTGTTACAACGTTTTTTTTTCAGTTATATTCAGCATTAGATTCTCATGGAATTATTATCGATATCCACTGGGAATTCTCCTTGGAATTATATTTTATTAATTGAATGATTGATTAACATTCCAGCGATTTTCTATGCCCTAACTGATCATTAGGAGTAGTATCAGAATTGTTTTCATATCAAAATTAAGTTTGTAGTTTTAACCCTAATTTACTTTGACTTCTCCTCCAGAATTCCTTTAGAATGCAAACTGAAATCCTTCAGAGTTTCTTAAAAATCATTAATCATTGTTCATTATCTTAAAAAAAGTTTCTTCTGAGCTTTCATGGGATCCACCCATAGTTTTGCTGAAATGCTTCTCAAAATTACCTGCAACTTATTTTCACATTCCTTTGGGATTGTCCTCTGAACTCCTTTAGGATTATTCCCAGAGACTCTCTAGTACAAAGGGAGAGAGAATTGCAGAGGACTAAAATTCTCCCCAAAACTCATTTGGCATTCTGATAAAAATTCTTTAGACATTTTTTCAAAAGTTAAGTGTTAAGTGTACTTAAATTTAATTTTAGTCCAAGAGGCATGTTTTTTTTTCCACTGATGTCTTACATTTTTTTATTATTTGAGAATTTTTAAAGTCTGAAATTTCGTCAAAATTTAGTAATGTGATAAACTGGTTTAGCCTCAACATCTTGAAAATTGTCTCTTGTGATTTTCTAAAAAAAAATCTTTGCCTGAAATCTTAAAAGTCCTATACGGAATGGGATTGCAGATGAGTTCTATTTTCACTAATTGTGATAATTTCTGAGTTCATTCTTAACATTCGGTCCATTTACCCACTCACCCTGTAATTCGAAATTTTGCAACAGTGAAAACATTTAAATTTGATTGAATCCCATTTTTTTTTTTGATCATTCCTATATTTTTTGAGTGCGAAATCTTTATTTTCTATGGATCAATTTCATTAGTTTATGGTTCATTGATAAAAGTTCTATGGATCATTTGCAACATTCTTCTTCTTCTTCGCATTTCAAGCTTATTGCATATTGCATATTAGCTTATTGCGAGCTCTCAACTTAGTGTTCTAGATGCACTTCCAAAGTTATCAAAGTTGAGAGCTTTCGATGCCTGTACCATTTTTACATTGGTATTATTGTGTGGCAAGTCCAATCATACTTCTATGCCCAGGGAAGTCGAGAAATTTTCCAACCCGAAAAATTCCTAGACCGGACCGGGAATCGAACCCAGCCACCTCCAGCATGGTCTTGCTTTGTAGCTGCGCCTTTACCGACTGAGCTAAGGGAGGCCCCATCATTTGCAATATGTTTATGGGTAATTCCGAGGAGGGTGACTCTATCTACGATGCAGGAAGGTTTGTGTTTTGCTGTGGCTAGCTGCGTGCACGCTGAGTAGATAGAATTAAGGTTGATGGCGATTCTGAAGATTTCTTGCAAAAATATTATGTACGATGCAAGTAGATGCGAGAAATAAAGAAGATTTTTCGAAGATTGATGCGCTAGTGTGAGATTTTTCGAGCATCTAGAATTGCGATTTAGATGTGATGCTCCCCTTGGGTGATTCGTATATTTTCAATGCTGATCTTTTACAAATGAAGCGGTAAATTTTTACAATTGCGTCGTTAAAATTTACATAAAATATGGATCATAAAAACATTTTTTATGGATCATTCACACTTTTTTAGGGCTTTTCACCGGAGTTTTATGGATCATTTAAATGTTTTTTAAGGAGCGTTTATCATTTTTTATAGATCATTTATTGATTTATATATGAAAAATCATGAATGCTTACGCGTTATGAATGAATGCTATAAGAAGGATCTCTGCTTTATAAATAAACATTTAATTCACTGTCCGGTTTATGCCGAAACTCATCCAAGTGAATCAACAGCACCGATAAGTGGAGGATGCTATCGTCGAACAGAAACTTTTGATAAACTGCTCTAGAGGGTATTGTTCCGAAAAAAAAAAATCGGCCTTTGAAATCATATTGTTGGCATGTAACTCATTTACGCTTTCAGCAAAAACAGAAGCACCTATCCTAATTCCCTAATATAAAATGTCCAATTCGGACATACCTTTTCACAAAATTGAACTTCCTACATCATCCAACAATTTCAAAAGCAACAACAGATTGGATTTACAAATTGCTTTTTTCCCACGTGGCAGAATAAATTGCTACATGGTCCAAAGTAGAACAAAAACAATACACCTACAAGGATTAAAGACCAAACAACTAAACATGCCACCCATATAAAATGTTACCCATTAGGTCCTGCCGAACGATAGAGAGGGAGAGAGGACGGTCGCACAACGGAAGGGTATGTGTCGACAGAACGGTTCTTGCATATTTAATACCCACTCACCTGTTGGGTACCGTCGTTGTACGTGCCACCACATCACACCTGCGTGAATGAACGTCGCCTTCTCTCGTTCTCCAATGATTCCCTCGTCAAATCCGTTCAGACATTTAATCAACGCAAATTAAATTCTCATTGCGGATGGCTCGGACCGTTTGAGAGTTTATTTGCCATTTGTGCTCGACTTTTCATTAAATGAATTGATGTGAATGTTCCGAGGACAGGGAAGAAGCGTTTCGATGTTATTGAAGTTTGACACGAGTAGCGGGAAATTTCAAAACTGACCTATTTTCGTGCACCAAGCTTTCCCGTCCTCGATGGGGTCATACATTTTCTCCATATTTTCTGTTTTCTACTCTCCAGGTGCGATGTGGCCACCTCAGTGGAAGATTCAGCTACCCTGGCGTCATGGAGGCTGCCTACGGCAAGGCTGGCTACTACCTGCTATCGTTGTTGCAGTTCATGTATCCATTCCTAGGTAGGTAAAATTACCCACAAACACATGCACATCCAGTTTCAAACTTTTCCACCTCGAGACAGCTAAGCGCGGGATGCAAGGCGGTGAAAGTTTTCTACCAGCAATGACGCGCTTCTTCACCGCTCATAAACACATACACTCGGAAAAATATGCACCTCATTTTTCAATCATACGTCACGCCGCCATCCACTCCAATTCCATCACATGGAAATCATCACAAAATTATGCTTTCGTTCAGTCACCCACGCCACACCCACCGTTACCGTAAAGACATTTGCTTCGCTGGCAGTGCGATATATCTTGTCTCTTTATCAGAAGACAGCCGCCGCCACCAGCGCTCTGCCGGAGGCCGCAGGAAAATTGTGCTTTTTTGTTGCAGATCCAAATATTTTATTCATTAACTCGCAGTTCTGATCATTCTTCGCCTTTGGGTTCGTGTGTGTGTGTGTGTGTTGTTTCAAAGTTTAAGGTTATTTCAGATCATGCTCTCACTCGTTGTGAGGAGGGAAATGTTTTCGCTCTTAAAGCACGGAGGTGGAAAAAAAGTTCAACGTTGTTGATCTGCATGGGAAAATGCAAAGTATAACCGATTTTCATCAGTAAGGTAGCCTTTAGTTGGGATTCTAAAAGTTTACTAAGTTTGTTTGTTATGAACGTTAAGGACCTTTAAAGCTCTGTCAATCATCAACAAAATGCTGTTTTATGGGTAAGTTTTTAATTAAAGCTGATTAATCCACCCACCGGTGACAACTCATATAATATTAAATATATCATTACTGTGAAACATAGGTTTTATCACGGTTCGTTTTTTTTATACTTCATTTATATCACTCTCGGTTTTATTACGAAAAATGTTTCGCTTATATCACGGTTTTCAGAATTAAAAAATGTCTGCAAAAAAAACTATTCTGTTTCTAGTCACATGAAGAATAACCTTTGTACGCCTCAGGTCATCCTTGTGTATTAGAGCTTATTTTATTTATCATGTATATCAATGATATCGGACGCATTTCATGATTTAACGATATCTTTTTTTTCCAATAGTCAACCCAGCCATCAATTGTGTTCACATTACTGAATTGTTACTCTGTCATGTGAATCTTTATTCGGTAAAAATAAATCGTATAAGGTGCAAAGAATTCAACTATACGTACAAATCTGGAGGCCATGTTTTACGCTGTGCCAATATGGTCTAGTTGTTGCAGTACCGGGAAAAAAGCACTTCAAAGGATTCAGAACAAAGTTCTGAAGATGATTTTGAAGTTGCCTCCCTGGTACAGTACTTCCTAGGTACATAGAATTTCAAATTTTGAGACTTTAGAACAAATGTCCAACAAAATAATTAATAATTTCTGGCAAAAATCGTTGCAATTCTCAATTGCAATCCTTTTATACTTAGATAAGATTAAGTTTTAGTTTTTGGTTTTTAGTTTTAAGAATTCAATTGTTATTCTGACAAATGCAGGTTCAAGAAAACCTGTTTAAAATACTGAATTGCCAAGGCAGGAACAATGTAAAACACTTAGATATACATCATAACAAATAAGGCTGGTAAGTTACTGTAGTAACTGGAGCACCTAGGTTAAAATGAAAAGTAATTTATTTTGAATTTAGAACAAGCAAAGAGTTAAAAAAAATAATAATTCGTTGTTTTGGGGCAAGACGTAACACATGTGTCATAGAGTTAAAAATCGTTTTGGAAATACGTCAAAGGAAACGTTTTTGGTGATTTGAAATGATATTTTCTTCTACTTTTTCGTGTTCATCGAGTAGTTTGTGAACTTTTCTCTCTATATGAGTTAAAATATGGTTTGTTTATATTTTGGCTCTTCCGCCCCTTTCATATACTAGTCTAGAATTGTAATGATTCAGCCACCATTCGAAAGGTATGGCTATCTCTTTCATTAAGAATAATGAAAACCCGATTGTACCAGCAGGAACGGAAAAACCAAATTTTAAGATTTTGCCCTTATGACTTTGAGGTATGATTATCTACTTTCGAACGAAACAGACAGTGAACCAATTGCACTTGTGATTGGATCGAAAAAAAACCGTGAGAGGTGGCTCTGTGGAAATTCGGATTCTCCGGGATAATGGTCAATCCCTGACCAATAGACGTAGACATCCGTGACTTTTTCAAAATTGGATACAATAATCTACATAGAGGAATATGCCATCACCATATCGATTCTGCTACCGGGTGGCCAGAAAGCAGTCCTCTGAATATCCGGAATCACCGGAAAATTATCAATTAGCAGCGCCGGTGGTTAGCTACTAAAAGTTCACATTTTCCATAGTTATTCCTATATAAGCTACAAAGGGCCAGTACAGTATCCACTAGACTGATGCAAAATGTGAAAATTTCGCTCCACAGTGCTCAAACGGTTCCAAATTGGCTCCTGATTACCCTCCCAAAATTTGAACACCTTTAGTAAGAACCTGACTTGGCACAAACCATTTGAAGTTTATATGGAAATTACTATGGAGAAACCATAATTTCGGTTCATATCTATCTCAAAATTCACCAGTTCACTCTACTTTAGAAAATGATAGCTGAACTTTGTTGAAGACCACTTTTCGATCAAATGTAAGGAACAATTATAATTATTAATTATTCAAGTCACTGATGTCTTATGATTATGCTCAATCAACTGTTCAGCAGGCAACATTGGTGCTTATGGCGCGTAGAATAGAGCACAACAATCATGGCTACTATGTCACACTGCAGAATACAGTGTTGCCCACAATACAGTTGCTTAATCTTGCCATAAGATTATCAATCTCTTAAACAATTAATAACTAATTAATTTGACGTTTGGCTGAAAATAGATTTTCTGCCAAGTTGTACCATAAGAATAGCAATAGAACTTTTTAACAGTACAATATGTTAAAAGGCTAGAAGACAATGAACAAAAAATTTGGTTTTCCCATAGTAATTTCCATATAAACTTCAAATGATTTGTGAGTGATGAGTTTAAACTTTCGGATGCTAATCAGAACCCGATTTGAAACCGTTTGAACACTGTGGAGCGAAAATTTCAAATATTGCATCAGTCTAGTAACCACCCTTAGATTATTTCACAGGAGTCAGTATGTTTTACTGGGTTTTGGAATTGCTAAAAAGTAGGAAAAAAATCAAAGAAGTGTTATCCTTAAGGCATCAATAAAATTGTCAAATTTTATTTTATATCATTAAATGCTGCACAAGTTCGGAATAAATTTTCTAATTTTTGAATTTCCCACTGAATTTTAATCTTTTACCGGAACAGTTCTCAATTCAAAAACACATCTAAACTTTACTTACTGGATTAGTGTGTGAGATCGCAACCACATGAGCGCTAATTTTGGGAAAATTTCCAGGACCTTATTTAGAATCGAATGAGCTTGGTGGAGTGTAACTGTTCGTTTTTCCCGGCAAGTTCAGTAGCAAGAGACCCCTCGAACTGGGTCTCAGGATCGGCTTACTACTTGGTAATCTCGAGGAACTTCGCGGACAAAATGTGCAGCGTACGGTCACCTGACTAGAAATACTGTGTAGTGTGAATTTATTGATTTAAGAATTAACTTTGACTGTGAGGGTTTTTATTTTTCTAATTGTGGGTGTGGATAAAATTAACTTCGTTCTTCGGTACGTACCACTGCTTATTCTGGCGTCCTGCGAGCGCTCGCTGCTGCTGCTACTGCTGCTGACGACGAGCTGGCAAGCTGATTCCCAAACAGTGGGTAATTACTATTACCGCACGATGGTTTGGCGGGGTTTGTCGATGGTATGTGGTTGTGTAAGCCTTTCAGGCGTCCTCCCTTGTTGACGGAGATTGACACGGCCCAGGACGATACCAGAGTGACCGTGTCAAGAGGGGGAAGGCTCCTTTACGTTTAGGGGTTTCGCCCCCGAGCTTGAAAAGCCTCCTTACGGGCGGCTGACCCAGAGGTTGGATTGGTCCTTTGCGGTTAGACGTAGCAAACCGAGGTCTACTACGCCGAATCGTGTGCACCTGGTAGAGCTTCTCACCAGACAAAATGGCGACTTTCAGTCGAATTTACACAATACAAAAAGGTCCTGTGAAGGTAATGGGAGGTATTAGAGAAGCCGTACTAATCTTCTAGTCATTAGTAGTGAACTAGATTTAGTTAGTTTTTAAGCGTAGGATAGGTCATTAGCGTACCTGACGAATCCGCCGTTTTCTCCCTTTTTCGCTGGATACCACTCACTTAACAATGTAAAGGACACTTTAAAATATGGCTCTTGTGCACTCGAACGCCTGTAACTTTCTGAGCAATGGCGCTCCTCCTTATTCTCATCAACCCCGTTGTAGCTTCTTTGTTGCTGTCTGTAAGGTTGGGGGGGGGGGGTTTGTTATCACCACCTTTGTAAATTTTGACCCACTTCGCCTGCTGGTCTACTCTTCTATCATTTAGTTGTTGTACCCACTGGCTTGCATGCGATTCACCCCACTTATTTTGTATAAAATTCAAATTCTACTAACCTATAACATTTTTAATAGACACAAGGTACATTTTTACTAACATTTACTAGCCAATAGACAATAGGTACATTTTTACTAACAGTTACTAGCCCTACTACTAACCCTAAATTTAATCCAACACCACTTAACTCTAGAGACGTGACTGTACACAAAATAAAAGCACATATAAAAATACTAACAATTTGTAACAGTCGATTACAGGAGCAAAATTGATATTTTGAACCACCTTAATGGTAATATTACCTAGCTGCCAAGTGATTTTTTACCACCCCTAAATCATGTCCGATTGAGCTAAAATTTTGCACCATGTCTTTTTTCAAGGCAATAAACATTTTGCATATGAATTTTGAAATTAAAGATGAACGTTTTCGTTGGTACCCTCATACATACATTTGATTCTGCTTTTGATTACTTGTGTGATGTAGGAGTAAAACGTTTAACACACTGCTGATCAAATATTCTCCGTTTTATAGTAGGCATTATACGTTCCTGTAGCTTATCCTTCAGTGATGCTCCTACGGCTCCAAGCACTATTATTTCACAACTACATAGCTAAACTTTATTACAGCTGACTCTCAACTTTTTTCGTATACCATCTCCTACAAAGCCATCAAAGAAATATGAAAGCATCATCTCATAACTAGATTAAAGTGTTACGATCCAGCATAATTAAATTCAATTCCAACTTTCATCATGTCGTTCACCATTGGTTTGTTATCGCGCATCTCCTGACTATCTTCATCCTTTACACAATTAAATACATACTCATACAGGATGGTTTATCTGTCATATTCCTGGAAAATGCCCATCCCGTTCAGCATGTTTAACACACACTTCACATTCAGATGCTTTTCATTGATCCCACCATCAACAGAAGCTGAGAGCCCCCCCGTGGAGTGTCTCCAACATCGCCAGCCATGTCAAACCACACAAAAGCCAATTCTCCCGGACACACACACATACACACATTCACGCGCTCATGCACCCTCTCCCGTACGATAATGCCTAACACTTTTCTGTCTCTCCCCATCCGCATCCAGCGATGATATCCTACAACGTGGTCGTCGGCGACACACTCTCCAAGGTGCTGGTGCGACTGGTGCCCTCCTGGGGCAACTCGATGGGGGCGGTGCGGTTCGGCGTGGTGCTGGTCGTGACCGTGTTCGTGATAATACCGCTCTGTCTGTACAAGAACGTCTCCCGGCTGGCAAAGGCGAGCTTCCTCAGCCTGGCGTGCGTCGTGATTATCCTGTTCGCCGTGGTCTACAAACTGCTGGCGGGCGATTACGCTGTCGTGTGAGTATCGTGGGTGCACTTTCTAAGGTGCTGTGCCTTTGTTCTTTTGTTAAGTGAATCTGCGTTTGAAGGGACATTTTGTGTGAAACCTAATGGTGGTAAGGTTCTTTGAAATGTTAAAAATAAGACAGGGTAGAGATTTTGAATTGTCACAAATTGCTCATATTTTGATACAAATACAACACCGCTTCTTGATTCCAAACTCGGCCTCCGGGTTTCAATTTCGTACAAACGCATTGAAACGCCATTGGGATCACTTCGGCACGCCGTGGATGAGGGCAAAAATGGAATGGGAAAATGTATTCGCTTGGAGTGCTTCTTTTGTTTTTGAGAATAAAGTGTGTAAATATTCAGACTTTGAGCATTTTAAGACTTTATTTTGTGATGTCGAAGAAGTTATCTAGTATTATACCATCCAGCATGTACTAATTTTTTTACATACCATCCAGCTCACATTTTAAGCAATTTTCTATTAGGCTAAAGTCGCCCAAAAAAAAATACGGCAATATTTTTTAAATAAATAAAATGATCATGGGTAGGATTAGATATAGAGCATTCCACATATTTAATTTGTTTTTAGGAATTTAATTTGTTTTTCTTCATCGGACTTAACGTGTCTAAATGAAGCCTGATGGGGAAAAGGCGTTAAAACCCCATATCTTTTCGAAATACATGACTCACAATAATACAATACAATTACAACGAACATTAATCAAGTCTATAGCATAAAAAAAGTTATCCTCTTATGGCATAGAGTTGTCGGTGAATCAGGTAGAAGTCCTCTTCATGCAGTTGAACCGGAAACAAAAAAATAAACAGGTAGGGGAAATGTCGACTTCGGCAATACCTTTACCTATTATCGTCAGGGGGTAAACAAAGTCCTTGCCAAATGCACAGCAAACTGGTCTCAGTATAAAGAGGCTCTAAGTGAGTATAACAGAGAAATAAGAAGATCCAAGCGAAAAGACTGGAGGCACATGTGTGAAAACATAGAAAGCACTCCTGAAACTGCAAGGCTTCATAAAGTTCTCTCAAAGGACCATTCTAATGGCCTGGGAACTCTTAAAAAAGCTGATGGCTCTTTTACTATAAATGCAACAGAAACTTTGGAAATGATGATGCATTCTCATTTTCCAGGGTCTAGTCCTACTACTGACTGCATACAAGATACATCTCTAAGATGTGAAGAACAAAATGGTACTACTAGAATGAATAACTCTTGTGAACTAGTAGTGTTCAACGAGGAGGCTGTCAATCTAGCAAACATTCTATTTACAGACTCTAGAATTTAATGGGCAATAGACTCTTTCAGCCCATTCAAATCCCCAGGTGTAGATGGAATTTTTCCAGCACATATCCAAAAGTGCAAAACTTTAATAATTCCTATTTTAATCAAGCTCTTCAAATCGAGCTTTCTTCTAGGGTGCATACCAAAAATATGGAGGCAAGTCCGGGTGGTGTTCATACCTAAGGCAAACAAAAAAGACAAAACTTCACCGAAATCATTTAGACCAATAAGTCTTTCATCAATATTTTTGAAGTTAATAGAAAAACTTATAGATGAATATGTCAAATCAGATGTTCTTCATGGTAACCCACTATGTAGAGCCCAATTCACCTATCAGTCAGGCAAATCCACCATAACAGCTCTTCATATGCTAGTTACTAATATAGGAAATACCTTCACAGCAAAGGAAATCCTATTAGCAGCGTTTCTGGATATTGAAGGTGCATTTGACAATGCGTCTTTTTCGTCAATGATAAACGCCATGAGAAATCGTGGCTTTAATGAAAACATAATTAAATGGATTGTGGAGATGCTATCCAAAAGAGAAATATCAGCTAATCTTGAAGATGCACTAGTAAAAGTAACAGCTGTAAAAGGCTGTCCTCAAGGAGGAGTTCTTTCTCCACTTCTGTGGTCTCTGGTAGTTGATGATCTTCTTTTAAAGTTAAAGCATCAAGGATTTGAAGTAATCGGATTTGCTGACGACATTGTTATTATAGTTCGCGGAAAATTTGATAAAATTGTATTTGATAGAATGCAAAAAGCATTAAAATTCACACTATCATGGTGCACACAAGAAGGACTGAACATAAATCCTACGAAAACATCAATTCTACCCTTTACTAAAAGACGTAGAGTCTCTACCACTGATCTTAAACTAGGAGATGTTAAATTATCACTGTCGCCAGAAGTTAAGTATTTGGGAGTAATCCTAGATAGTAAACTCTGCTGGAACAGACATATGAAACAACAAATAGAAAAAACAGCATATGCTTTTTGGGTCTGTAAAAGATCATTTGGTAAAAAATGGGGTCTAAAGCCGAAGATGATACATTGGATCTACTCGGCTATTGTTAAACCCAGAATCACTTATGCATCACTAATCTGGTGGCCGAAAACCAGACAACAAACGGCACAAGTTAAATTGAACAAGTGACAAAGACTTGCTACTCTTTCCATTACTGGAGCAATGCGTAGTACTCCTTCGAAGGCATTAGATGCTCTACTCAATATTCTTCCTTTAAATCAATTTATTCAAATGGATGCAATGAAAAGTGCTCTGAGGCTCAAACGGTCCATGAATTTCTTTGATGGAGATCTTATTAGACATCTGAGCATTTTGAAAGAGTTTCAAATGAGTCCACTAATTTTAATGAATGAAGACTGGATGTTAAAGCGTAACAACTTCAATCACCAATTCAAAGTTCCTGAAGTGACTCGTTATGATTGGAATACAGGAGGGCCATCTTTTCGTCCTGGGTCAATAGTATTCTATACGGATGGATCGAAACAAGATAAAATGGTTGGGGCTGGAATAAGTGGTCCTGGGATCAGCCTATCGGTGCCGATGGGAAAATGGCCAACAGTATTTCATGCTGAAATATATGCCATCCTAGAATGTGCCACGATTTGCTTAAAAAGAAATTATAAAAATGCAAACATATGTATTTGTTCAGATAGCCAAGCAGCGTTGAATGCTCTAAAGTCCAAAACTTGCACTTCAAAACTGGTTTGGGAATGCACTAAGCTATTGCAGCATTTTTCCTACTGTAATAAGGTTAACCTATACTGGGTTCCTGGTCATTGCGGAATCGAAGGGAATGAAAAAGCTGATCAATTGGCTAAAGTGGGATCATCAATGCAATTTATTGGACCTGAACCATTTTTAGGATTATCTTTTTGTGCTCTTAAAATGGAGTTCAATAACTGGGAAAGAATAAAGGTACAGTGCAACTGGAATAATACCTTAAATGCCCGGCAATCAAAACGTTTCTTAGAGCCCAACGCTTTGCACACACAAAAACTGCTGACCTTATCGAAACACGATTTGAGTACATATACTGGTTTGATTACAGGACACTGTCCTAGTAAATATCACCTTAAACTTATCGGAAAAGTTGATGAAGACAGATGCCGTTTTTGTAAACTAGAGAGTGAGAGCTCTAAACATCTGCTGTGTGACTGCGTTGCACTATTTCACAAACGACGTATATATCTAGATAAGGGGCTTATGGAACCCTGGGAAATCTGGGCTGCTTCTCCCAATCAAGTTGTACATTTCGTAAGGCATGCATTAATAGCATCTTGCCATTGCGTTACAGCAAAATCAAAAGAGGATACACCACAATAGATCAAAGTTATGGTCGCGGTGGTATAAAAAAAGAAAAAGAAAAAGTCCTTGAGAGCTCAATTTTGGCATGTGGATACATTGTGTTTCAGAGCATCTATTGGCCAAATTTTAGTACTCTAGGACTTTATTTACCCCCTGACTATAATAGGTTAAGGTATTGCCGAAGCCAACATTTCCCCTAGCACAATCCTTCACGTGTACATCAAATGGGCAGCTACTTACCTTCTCAGGAGTCTGCGTTGAATACGGTGACGAAAGGTTTCCGCTGCACAGTTGAAGTCGAAAAACTCGTAAAACTCGTTGAAACGCCCAGACATGAACCGTATTGGGCCATGCAAGCTGTAGTTCGCAGCACGAGGTCCAAGATGCAGGAAACTCCTCGACCGAAGAACTCGTTCGGGTGCGTAGATTTCGAATTCAGCCAAGATTCCTGGTGAGTCGATATCACCAATAAGTACTTTTGCTGCGAAAACGGCCTGACAAACCGTCCGCCTATGTTCTAGTGTTTCAAGACCCAGGAGTTGACGATGGTTCACAGGGTCATTCCAAGGAAGGTGACGAAAGGCATACCAAACAAATTTCCTTTAAACAGATTCAATCCTCGCTATCCAAACTGCTTGATACGGGTACCATACTACCGAGCTGAATTCCAAGATCGATCGCACTAGAGAGCAGTTTATTGTTTATTGTTTATTGTTTATCAGTCAACAGGTAAAATGTTTACCCCAATAATTTATTTCCATTTCGTCAAGCCAGTGTAGACCACATACAATAATTATTACAATGTTTACTTACATACTATGCATTAATTGTATTCTGTTTTAGCTTAGTTTTTATTTGCTGCTTGGACATAGTGATGTCAATAGTTCCGCAATGCAAATTATATAGGCGCATCATTCGATTGATTGTGCTATTTTTTGCATAGTTTGTTCTGTATGATTTTTCTGAAAATAAATTCCGTGTTCTAAGATATCGACAAGGTGTGTAAAAGTTTAATTGTGCAAGAATTTCTGCCGAATCTATGCGCATTAAAATAATGTCGTTGATGAAGAAAAGCATTGCAAATTGGCGACGCTCCTTAAGTGTTTGTATATTGATGAGCATGCAGCGCGCTTCATAAGATGGTAAGGGAAATGCAGGAGTGTACCCCATTAGGCATAAATACGTTAGGCATACGGACGTTAGGCATACGGACGTTAGGCATACGGACGTTAGGCATACGGACGTTAGGCATAATGGACGTTAGGCATAAAGTCATTAGGCATAATGGACGTTAGGCATAATATACGTTAAGCATAATGGACGTTAGGCATAAAATACCTTGCAGCTGTGCAACTCTATAAACCTGTTTCGAGCATGGTA